ATTAGAATTGCTGGAGAACGATTCAAGCAAGCAGTGTATCATATATGTATATGCGATGCTATCGTTTCCCTAAGTTTGGCTGTAGTAGACGATGAGATATATTGTACTATACGCTTCGCACACAAATTCCAATTAAACGCCCGGAATTCCTTTCGCATGCCAATCGATTACTGTGACAATGTAACTGCAGAGTTGAGATGCGTATATTACTCCCCGGAAACTGTCAGTGGAAATATCTTATGTCCGACAGTGGCTGCGATCTCTTTGAGCTTGTAAAGATATGACGATAAATGCATAGTTCGCATCATCATATCATGGAATCAAATATAATATCATTGTGTAATACAGAAATAATCCTCTTGTACAAATTTTTCTAGTATATGTATACATATGTGCACATGCACATACAAAATAATGAGATGAATCAGTTGGTGTTAAGAAAATACATAGTTGTTAAAAAAAAATTTAATATTAAGATTTCTTTATGAAATTTAAAAATTCTAATTGATATATACATACATATATGAAAACAGGAAAAATATATCAAATTATAATTAAAATAAAATAATTATTAATAATTATAAAATCAAAATAACTACCAAAAAATATCTAACATCAAATATATTTCAAATATTGTTTTTAACAAAAAAATTAACAACAAAATTATCAATAAAACAACAATCCTAGAAATTGGAAATTATTAAAGATCTAACGATTAAAATAAACTCTCTCTCTCTCTCTCTCTCTCTCTACAGAGGCAGTTGCGCTAGTATAGTTTAGCGAAGGGGAAATTTGCTAGAGAAACCGTATCGATATTGGAAAATCATTTATCCCGTCTAATCCACGTAGTAGACACGCCTTGACTTTTGACAGATCCGAATTGCTACCTAGCTATGTAGACAGATTAATGCATTCCGCCTAGGGCTAACTTGGACTATACGTCAAAGTCACGAGGCTTTATGCATAAAATATAATACAGGAGGCTCTATTCAATATTTTAATACACAAGCAGCATGCAGTCTAAAATATTAAAGGTTGTTTTTATTTGATTATATTTTCAAGCTTGTTGTATATAACGAATGCATGTGGAGTATGCACTTAAATTAAAATTGAAATGTTTAAAATTGTGTGATCCAAGTTAACAATTACATCTTTAAGTTTATCTAATAAAAATGAAAGATTAAAAGCATTATGTACATTTAATTTAAAATTTAAAATTTAACATGCAAATAATATGCGGTCAAATATATTAAATAATATATATTTAATGGTATTAAAAGATATTAAAGAGGTGGTATTAAAGGGTATTAAATGGCATATATAAATTAAGCCAATGATCTCTCTCTATCATTGCTTTTTTATTAAAACGAAAGTGGAAACAAAAAAAAGATTTTATTTTTATATTGGGTCATTATTATCAAGAGTATTACTGAGAGGATTTAACTTAACCCGTAAAAATCAGACAATCCACAGATCAGGTTCAATCCTCTTTCTTTTGAAATTATTTCATGTCCTACATTAGAGAATATTTTTGGATTAGTATTCATCGTAGGAAAATCTGTTTTAATTATGAATTTAAATTAATCCATCATTCCTAGTTAAAATACAATTTAATCTTGCCACATTTAATTATTTTATATAGATACAGAACAAAAGTTCGAATCTATTTTCATACTCGGTCACGTCCATTATGACGATGTTACAATAGCTGATAGTGCAATTATTTGATATTTGCTCACGCATATGTTTCAATTGAACGAATGCTTATGATCGACTAATGCCAACTGATATCTATGGCACGGTGCCTAATGTAATGAGCATTTGGCACATACATAGTATGCGCGAACTATAAAAGATAGTTTACGCACTACGATTGCGTATTCCAAAATTTCTGATCTTAACTTTATAATCGGTATTCCCTTTGTCTTCTTTTATCAATATCAAAATTAATTTTTTTCTCACGATCATAGAAAATGTCATGTTTTTTTTATCACATTCTTACATGCCAATACTAAAAATTCCATTGAAATACAATTTACTTAAAGTTAAGTAAAGAGTAAGATGCTGTATTTGTATATCTGCAATTGAAAAAATTGAAAAATTATTGGTTTTTATCAAAACAGAGAGAATTTATTTTAGATTTTGACATACTATTTATAGAATACATGTATTTTCGAAGTTATTTGTTTTCTATTTGACAGAGTACATCAGTATACGAGTTATCTCTCATCGAGTTATCTGGAGCAGCGTGTTCTAGCTTTTTTTTTTGGAAATATGCTTCCGGCGTTTTCATAGCGATTACGATCATTCATGTGCCTCGTGAAAACGTGTTAAATGGTTCTAAAAATAAATAAAAAAAACCGTAAAAATAGCAATCCAGATATTTTATCAACTTATGTGAAATGATATAGAAAAATCGTTATGTCATAATGGCCAGAATACGTCATGATTTGATGATTTTGCTAAATCGCCAATTCTACATCAATCTCATATATTTATTGGTAAAAAATAAAAGCAAATTAACTCCAAATTAATCAAAAAATTCATGAATGAAAAACCATTTGCTAGATTTATAAGGTACTTTGCAGCATCAACATATAAATAGAGCAATTTGAAACATGTTCTTTTAGCGATTGTTACAACACTTATCTCTAGTATACATTCTTATATGTATATATTCATATAGGTAGGCGAATACCAACGTATCTCTTCGACGTGTCGTTAGACAGGACGTGACATAGAGGGTGGCGAAAGGAGCCGTACGGCACGACGACCCACATTCCGTCGAATTTAATTTCATGCCTTATCGCTGGTAGCCGTGATACAATGCCTCAACTAGGACGGTCGCGGATCTCGCGCATGTACAATTACACGTGGAACTGTATACATATATGCATACGCACACATCATTTATTAACGGTGTCATACGCATACGCATTCCATGTGCTTCAGTCTTTACTCTTCTCACACACATTCTATTTATACATCTCTCTTCTATTCTCTCTCAGACAGATCTCTTATTCTCTCATCCTTTCCACTCTCTCCCTCTTTCTATAACTACTCTATGTCCTAACTCTCTCTTTTCTCTTTATATTAACTTTTATCCTTTTTTTTATCTTGCAAAATAAAAATTAATATTTTTCGGCTAAATACTAATTATCGAACATCACAATTTACCTTTAGAATAATTGTTCTATTTCTCATATCGAACAGTATTCTTTGTCATATCTATTTATTCAATTGCGCAATGATGTCTGCTTCTCGATCGCCTTACATGCGAAGATGAGACCTCTTCAGTCGTTGATGCTTTTCACATCTTGAAAATCTAACGTTCTAACAAATACTCACTTGAAACTTTTCTCGACGATCTACATATGCATTCTCTCCGTTTTGACCCTTATCTCTCCTTCTCCGTACCCCTCTCTCTCTCTCTCTCTCTGAAATGCATTCATCCTCTTTCCCCTCTTTCTCTCCCAGATTCTCAGTCCTTTACAGACATTCCTATCGCGGTCTAGGATAGTGAATTCGTGTTCCGTCTCTGTCTCCGTTTCTGCCACTGTTTCTCCGTTTTCCACCGTTCCGGCGCGTCGAGTCGCGCAAGTGCGCCTATTATACATCGTGCATCTGATGTACGCGTTTCTGTAACGAGCGAACGCAAGCAGTGAATGTATACCAAGGGTCGATCGTGTAGCTGGCTATTTCTGCACGTGTTCCGACTTTACGTGGTGACGATTGCTTTATCAGATGTACGAGACTGACTGACGGAACGGGGTACGCGCCATCGGATCTCGTGTCACCGGAATAAAAGTCGTTTTGTAAACTAAGCTATATCGGAACAAAAATAGATTATGAGACCGTGCTCTTAATTAATTCCATACAACTTGACTTTTCTTTGATAATATCTTATTTTAAAGTTTAATTTTGTAATTCGAAGAGATATTTATTAATATATTTAAAAATAAAGAAAAGTTGTCGAGAAAGGATGGCGTCAGTTTCTTTTTTTGTTAAAGTAAAATTGACTTTACAATTAATTACAGAATAAATTCTTGTAGACAAGTCTCATGTCTGATGATTACAATACCCCACGTAATACATATTTTATGACATTTATCATAAATAGTCCTCTATATTTATACTATTTACAGTCACGTTAGAAATAATAGTAATAGCAATAATAATAATAGAAATAATAAATCTATCGTATTTTCCGCAAAAATATTTATATAGACGACGATGAGTTAATCGCTCAATTTACAAAAGCCTTTGTTTCCCATGAACACGAAATGAAAGAGCTACTAGGAAGGTCATTAACCAGCCAATATAAGACGTCTGTTCTTTTTCGAAGAATTTTGAACTGATTCTAAACTAGTGCAGTAAGTTAGAGTGAAACAAACTATACCTATCTCTCTTTAATTTATTGTACTAGTGTAAAAGACTAGTGTAGAACACTAGTTCAGAATTTGCGGGGTGGAAAAAGAACAAATCTATTGAATCAATCAGGAAGAAGCATTTGTTATTGTGCATCACTGATGCATATAATATACAGTTCACACAAATGGTTCCTTTTGAATGGTTCCTTATTTTGGATTATTAATGACGATATATATAGTTAGATGTATCGACGATAAACGCATATCGCCGATGTATCTAATTATATCGCTACTTTAAACTCCCACTTGAAATCAGAAATTCTATCAGATTGAAACGAGGATGATCAGCAAGTAGTAAAATATGGCATTGACATCGTTCACGATTATACATATAGCTAATTACTCCGCGAACACATTTCAACATCTTTCTTTTCTTTAGTCTCATTGACTTTCTATTATTTTCTTAAAATGATAGCGATACAAGCTATCTTCCGTGGGACAAAGGATATAATTAACACAAAAGAACGAAAAGTATCAGAAATAACGCGCGTTCATTTAGAAATTATCGCAACAATCTGTTCCAAATCCTAGTTAAAAATATACTTAATCATGTATTATTATGTGATGCAGGTCAAACAGCGTACTAGGTGGATGGCGACAGCAATGATCGTAGTACGACGACGATAGAAAGACGTTAGAACGTTACCGCTTGCGGCTGCAGCTGCGGCGTCATCGGTCGCTGCACCTGCAGCTGCGGTGGTGGCGGTGGCGACGATTTAATAAGAGGGCGAAACGATGCAGAACACCGGTGACTATTATCAAAGAGCGCCGAGATGTTGTCCAGGTAGAAGTGGCAACAGCAACAACAACAATAATAGTGCGAGCGGATCGGTGCGAGGCGCGGAGCTGCTCTGCTGCTGCTGCAGCTGCAGCACCTCTACCTCCACGAAAACTCCGGGACTGCTAGCGAGTCTTGGCGTGTGTGTGCTCGTCCTCGGCTACACCCTCCTCGGCGCGTTCGCCTTTATGGCCCTCGAGGGAGATCTTAAATCGGTGAGGGGTCGGAACCGACGACAATTAAACCGTTTCCTCCCGATTTGTCATTCGACGCCGAAACTCGAGATAATATAATTCGTTCGACGATTTCGCATTTAATTTGATTCTGCATAAATGTGAAATTGTGAAATAAAGACAAAATTTACAAAATGAAATTGAATTTACGAAATATTAATTGAGCAATTTATTGTTAGCATTGATTGTTAACATTAATTCTGACTAGAGATTTGACTTTCATGACAGATTAGACATATTTGCACACATGTTCCAAAAATGTAATATTTTCGTGTTCAACGATTTGTCAATCAATATCCAAATTATTTACAATTATTTGAAAAAAAATTTGATCAACCGAAATCTCCGCAACGTGCCGTCGATGTGATCATCGCTCAAATATTTCGATGAGAATAATTTATATTTACATTTCTCCTACAGGATTCGCTTACCGAGATTCCATCCTCAAAATCCGACGGGGCTTCCTATGTGCTGCCTAATCTGGAGAACGACTCCGTTGCCACAGAATTGAGAGCACGTACGGTCGAAAAGCTATGGAGCATCACCGAGGATCTTAACGTTCTCTATAAAGAGAATTGGACTCGCCTAGCTGCTCGAGAAGTCCTCGAGTTCCAAGAGAATCTGGCCCGCGGTCTCAGGCGCACTTCTTACGAGCAGGTGCCTCCGCGATCCCGAGAGCATCAGGCAGATAGACGACTACACGGTCGACGATGGACTTTCAGCAGTAGCTTGCTGTATTCTCTGACGTTAATTACTACCATAGGTTTGTTCAGATTCGTCCAAATAACCGCGTTCAAAACGGTCTCTCGACCTATATTATTCGTCAAATCGTACCCATTATCTCGCACTCAATATAAACTGAGATTTGTACAATCGTCAAGTAATATTAGCTTGTAGCCACACGAAATTCGAGCGTTTATTCTCGTCACATGATAGATATCGAAATATATGGAAGTGATCGTTTCGGTTTCAGGATATGGTAGCGTAGCACCACGCACAGTTTGGGGCCGGTTGATCACTATAGTTTACGCCTTGGCGGGAATTCCGCTGATGCTGGTCTATCTAAGCACAGTAGGCGACGTGCTCGCCCGAAGCTTCCGTCGTCTCTATGGACGTATATGTCGGCAGCCGCGTAACTGCACGCGAAAACAGCAACCACCGCCACCGCCACCACCAGTCGGTGGTATAATGACCAAGGCGTATCGCTACGACAATCACGTGGAGACCAAGGGAGGCGGCAACTACTATTCGGCAAGCAGAGAAAGTTCCTGCGATGATTTGGGTATTCGCGGTACTGGCAGCGCAATCTTGCTCGACTGCGGTAGCGAGGGTCTCTTGCACGCTACTACCAGTTCGACAGCCGCGCTCCAGGTAATGTTATAATGATAACGATAAATTAAAAAGATTATATCATCATTTTTCTCTGAGAAATCCTTTCTAAAAAGCCTTGTGTTTACAATATTAAAAATCAATCTGATTGTGAGATTTTGAATGGGAAAAATTGACCAATTATTCTGTTGGTCATGTGATCGAATTGTTCAAATGTGATTTCTTAATTCTTTCTCTGTCTGAGATCTCGGAGCGATTTCTAATATTTTGTACTATATCTTTTTCTTACTACAATATGATATCCCAGTCAAATCTGTCGAAAACAAATTTTGTCAAATTTTTGCTGCAATTAAGTAATAACAAAAAATTATCAAATTTAATGCAAATTTTATTGTACTCAAAGTTGTTAGTAAATTGTTGGCAAAAATCAAGCAGCATGTGGTAGCAAATTGACAACAAAAGCCGAGCAAAGTTTGCACCTGACAGCAAATTGTCGGCTGATTTCATCGGCTTTTGTTGTCAATTTGCTGTCAGATTGTTGCAAGCCTTGCTTAATTTTTGCAACAATTTATTATGTGTTACGTTAGTAGATTTTATTCCTTATCTGTATCAATAATTTGGTAACAGTTTTGAGTACAACAAAATTTGTTTTTGACAGATTTGGCTATCTAGGTATATATAATAAAATTATG